TTGTTTTTTTCTTCTTTCCGGAACATTGGAACATTTTTCTATGCCCACTCCTCACCCTTTCCATATTTCCAATGTCTGTCCATCCAGTGATGGACACTTTAAAATTAAGTATTTGCCAAGTGCAAGTTCAATTAACGCTCTATGTATTTATCCATTTATTTGATATTCTTAAGCACTCGACAAACAGACATGGATAAACAAGGAAAGTGTTTAAAATACTTATATTTGTTCACAAATACATTGCTAAAATTTTTTGTGAGGAATACATAAATGAAAATTGTTCCCGAGCCAATTTGCATTGACCTTAACTTTTCTGAAAGATCTGAAGATCTGGGTGTCCAATTGAGTTTAACATGAGCCATTTGAATTAGAATTGACGATGACATTTATGAATATTTCTGCGACAGCCCGAGATCACTGGGGGTTGGAATACCCCCTTTTGGGATCGAAAGAGAACATTAGAACTTGATTAGTTGACAAGTCTATCAAGGGGCGTTGAGACATCAGTAACTTAAAACTGTTCCTGCTTGTGGTTTCTCCAAACAATCAATGCACAGAAGATCACCAGACCTTTCATGGTGAAAAGTTAATCAAGTTAGGGGTTTGAGAATATTATGTGATCTTAACCACAACAATTATGCCGCTTTATCTTATAAAACTGAGGAAACTATAGAATTTGAGATGATAACTTTATAATATTTTAAACGGAAAGGAAATAGATTGTTGAGATTAGATCTCGGTAAACTTTATAAATCACAGTTTTTAGAAAATAAAATATTATTCCATTGTGAATAACAAAATTAAAGTATTTTCTTTTATAATGGAATTTTTATGTGTGGAATTTTTGGAATCTTACTATAATATTCAATTATGTCTTATGAATTATCTATTTCCCAACTTCATTCACACTTTGCTTAAAGGTTTAAATGCTTTATCATAACATCTCAATATTCTATAATCCATAATAAACATGATCTTTAATTGCAGTGAAGGTCTGTCATTGCTCAAGTTCAAGATCGCATCCCGAAAATTCATTAAAATTCAAGATGTCAACACTCTGGCCGCAATCCATACTCAAAACAGTTTTCAGCCTTGGGCTTAACTGATTTCATCTTGGAATATCATTTCCTATATATAGATATGGAATATATATAAAGCGTGTTGCGTTGACAATTTTGAATGGCAAAAAAAAAACACAATATTGCTGCGAAATGTCTGCCTTGAATTGCGATTCTCATAGAGGGAGACACTTTGGGGCACAAGATTTGTAGACTATTGACAGCCGACGATTGATGCGATCAGCGCCATTCCATTCCAGAAATTAGTCAGCTGCAGTTTGCATATAATTTGCCAGCGGATCGTGAAATCTATTCCGGATCGGATAGGTTCATCGATTCGTGCCAAATGTGTGCCAGATTGAGCAAACAGGGGACAAGGTCGCAAAAAAAAAGATTTCTAACGAAAGATATGCTATTTTTTCCCAATTTTTGTTTCAACACATTGGCAAAATGTTCTTTCATTCAAAGAAAGTTTTTCTTTCTCTCTGCCAGCAAATAAAGATAAATGAAATGAAATAAAATGAAATATGTTACGCAAGGCGATTATGCTATGTGTTTTATATGTTTTGCACATTCCACCGATTGAATTGAATATTTTTTATCGACAGAGATTTTCGCACGCATTTTAATAATTCTTTTTATGGTTCTTTATTGAATTATTGTCAGTATATATGCATTGTTTCGTGTAAAATTACGAGCTTAAGGTGGAAAATAAATTCATGCTGAAATCGAAATTATTGCCGGCCATATAAAGAGGGTTTTTTTATGGGTCCCGCCCAATTGACAGTTACAACATGTTCAAAGTGGGTGGTTTGGGTACCACTTCCGCATATATTATTCACCAGACACTGGCGGCAGCTCATTTATTGATTACAGAATAACATTTGTTTAACAATTTATTGGATACTCGCATACTGCATTATTAGCGAATTGCTTTTTCAACGTTTTTCATTGTCATTTTGTTTGCCATGTTTTGCGAAATTTGCATTTGAATTTCTTTCCATTTCTGCGCAACATTATAAATTGTCGTAGGTTATGAGAGGCCAGGCGATGGGGGAAATGAAAATTGTTTGTGTCGTCCCCGGATTGCACTAATTGAATTGAACTTGATTTATTAATGCCTCGACTCGGCAAACTTTAATTCCCATTTTGTGTCTCGTTTTTGCCCGTTTTTCCAACTAATGCTCTCACATGTCCAAAAAAAAAGAGAGAGGTCGAGAAATAAAATTAAAAGATACGAAATTTAATAATAAACAAATATCAAATTGAAAGAGTGATTTATGTGGGGCTATTCAAATTTGTTATTTATTGCCCAGCAGATCAAAGTCAAATGCCTTGGGGCCAGATAGATATGGCTGATAAAATCGGATACTAATGTGAGAGTCAACATTTGTTGCCATGTATAAGTGAACCTAGATACCTAGATCAAATATTTAAACCAGAGCTAATTGGTGCACGTTGATTGATAAAATAAATAAAGATATATATTTTGCTTAGCTGTAGATTTATCTGCCATTGATATATGATTTTAGAAATTGGGAGGCTTCATTTTAAAGGTGTATTCATTATATTGTTGTTTTTATTATGTTCCAAAATTGATCTGACCTCAAAAAATCTTTATAATATTTTATAGATTTATTATACCTCTAAAAACTGTCCCAATCTTTACCATTTTTATAAATATAAATAGTTTGTATTTTTCCATGTCCAGCTGATTTATTTTTGATTACACCACAATATTTTTAGTGTTTCAAGGTTGTCAAAACTTATGATCCGCTGACTCTCATTCAACTTTAGCCATTCACTCTCGCTCTTAAAAAAGGAACATAAATAATTTTTTTCTTATTGCTATTTCTCTTTTTCAAAGTCAACAACAAAGCCCATTCATTGTCAAACCCAATGGTATTTTTTGCCCATCGAAACCAGCCAAAAACTGATCAAACACCATGAAGTTTATTCACCCACACTCGACGAAATCTGGTCGAAAATCGCAAAATATACATGGAGAATAACGAGTACGACAAGAATCGAAAATTTAGCCATGACCGAAGGCAAATCGTTTAGGCAAAGCAACATTAGATGACCAAAAACTGAAGACCAACGAAAGATTCCGGCAAATTATCAATATTTGGGGTGGGTGTTTCTAAGCCGCAAATCTGCTGCAAAAATAGGTCCAATGACTAAGCGTCTTTACCGTACAGTAAAATCTCCCACACAATCATCAGCCAAACATTTTCGATTTTGGAGAAATTTTTTTTGTGCGTCTTGGACAAATGAATCAGCTTTTAGCAATTTGGACAGTGATTTTGCATGAGGTTGTTGGGTAATACCTATTTTTCCGGCGTGGTTTATCTTTGCAGATGAACCTCTGTTTACACAGGAAATTCATACTAATTTGCTAAGAGCATTGATTTCTAAGCAACAAAATATGCAGGCAAATATTCCATTTCCGTTTATTTTGGTTTTTAGCGTAACAAAAACAAATGCAAAACGCAAAACAATCTATTTGCATAGAATAACTATTAGAGCGAACATATTGTATACGAAGATTTTTGAATTTGAATTTTTGTCTCACCGAAAAATTTGCATTCGACGTTGAAAATGAAAAACTTGTTTCAGCTGGTTAGAATAAATGTTGTTTGTGCGGAAATTGTTGTTGATTCTGTTTGGTATATTGATTAAAATGTTGTTGCAAGTGATATTAAATAAAATGGATAAATGGAAAGCTTTTAATTGAATTGTTTGGACAATACTGGGATTATGGAAAAGAAAGAAATATAAAAAAAGAAGGAATTCATTTAGTGAGCTTAATAAAGTTTTGGACAGCATTTTAATGAAATGAATAACATATTTTTAATAAAGGTAAAAAAAGTTTCATTAATAAATTTTATATATAAAATCATAAGGAAGTAAAGAAGTTAAAAATAATTATTTCAAAATGAATTAAAATTCGTTAGGTACTAACAACAAAATTTTTAGTGCTTTTGCATATTTTAAAATTAACTTTTTGTAAAATAATCAACTCTTTTGAAGTAAAGAAGTTTAAAAAAAATAATTATAAAATGAATTAAAATTCTTTAAGCATTAACTAATACATTTTGAGTGCCTTTGCATATTTTAAAATAAACATTTCATCAAGTGGTCAACTCTTTTGAGCGCTCTTAATTGACTGATAAGCTGTATTTTAATTTCCGCTCATATAAAAAGTGTTCATTAATTTATATAATTAAAACAGGCTTTTTTTAGCCGCCCGACAGAGAAGAGTGAAATTAATCAATTGCAAAAACAAAAGCGCGAAAGTGTATTTCCTTGTGTTTTCTTCTCCCTATAATTACTTTGCTTAATTGCCCCACCAGCTCGTCTTCACATTTTACTCTCTCACTCAAAAATATGACGAATTTTGCATGTGTTTTGCGGCTCAACGACCATCAAAACAATATTGGCGACCATGCCCCCTTTCGACCGCCGCCCACCCAGCAGCTGTTCAAAGAGTACTACCCATGGTTCCACTCCTCATATAAAACCTGAAGACCCCGCCGCTCTCTCGATCGCTTTTCGACTCTCGAATGTGTCATAACTTATAAATACTAGGCAAAAACCGAAGAGCTAAAAGTCTACTAACGGTACGAACTGACAAATTCTGGTGTGATTACGATTAGCAGCAATCATTAAGGTTTTCTTTTAATTCTTTCACTCTTTGGTGGTAATTTGTTGCCATTTGGCTTTTCGTCTTTATTGTGCTATTGACCATTTGTCTGAGACTTTGCAGGCCAAATCTTTGGAGGCCAAATCTTGTTGTCTATGTGCCTTCAATCATAATCGGCTGCCTTGTGTGTTTACTTTTTATTTATGAATTGTGGCCAGCAAAGTTTTGAGTGTTTGAAAAATGAGGCAATGGTTGAGAGCCAAAAAAATGACCATAAAAAGCAGACATGACCAAGAAAAATTAAGAGATTATTATTAGAGTTTATTTATGGGTCTTAAACTAGGTTCTGCTTGGTTATTATATTATATCTTGAGTTGATTTTGAAAATGTATTCATATCTTTTGGTTCTGTATATACCTTCCCATATACCTTCCCTACTTTGCACCTTTAACTTAACCGAATTTCAAAAACAATTCTTTTCACACTTCGTGTGTACACAGAGTAGAAAGCCCCTGAATATTCCAAAGAATCGGCATGAACATTTCGAAAAATAATCAGGCAAACTGGGCAGCAGCGAAATTGGTGAGAACAGAAAAAAAACATATACACAAAAATAACTAAAAGTGCTAAAAATAAAACTTATTTAAAGAAATGAAACCATGAAAATTCAAAAACACACAGGCCAAAGCGAAAAACGATGGCAAATACAAAAATATAAATAATAAAACGAGCGGAAAAATCACTTTTGGACTATGCAGATATACTTGGCGTATACTTTATATAAGGGTTCTTTGGTTTTGCGACTTATCGGCTACTCCAAAACGAAATCCTGTGGATAAACAAAGGCGACAGAGCCATAAAGAGCACGGATTACAAGGCACGATTGTTTATGGTTTGTATGTATGTCTGGGTGTACGAATTCGAATATATGTATATATATTTTTTTTTCGATTTTTTTTGCTTTTACCACATTTGGCTAACGATACGAGGCAAAAAACCCAGACACATATGTATAGTCACTCCAGCACTCACACACACACACTCACACACACGCACTGCAAGTCCGTGATTAATTGTCATTGTAAAGCCAATAATAAATTTTGGGGGACTCCTTACAATTGATTGGATGATTGGGCGTATGCTTGATATGGATTTAAGATCCTCCGATTTGGCAATTTCGAAATTTATTATTAGCGCGGGCTTCTCGCTGCCAATTTGCCGCCAGATGCGTGCAGCAATACCGTTAGTTAGTGGTACGTATTCCGCGAAAAGAACCCGCGATAAAGTGGATGCGACAACGCTTGGGGACTCACTGAACGATCCACCACCGACTGCCGCCACCAGCACCACCGCTCCACTTGCCGCAATCTCGCGCTCCCGCTCTCTTTTGGATCTCGGAATCTCGAGTCTCGATCCCCAGAGAGCTTCCCAGCATGAGATCCCCCCCAAACGGAAGAGCGTATGATCAGTCAAGAGACCCGAATTAAAAGTGAGAGGTTTCTTTACGATCCGATTTTTGTTTTTTTTTCATTTACCACACATGTACCCTAAGTACAATCTACACAGAAGTCGTGGAAAAGTCAAAAATCAAGCACAAAATCAAACGGCCATTCCACGCGAGATCCACGATCGCCACCGATTTGCGCTATGCGTCATACTATAGCTACAAGTAGCTTTTTCCCATAGGTAAAAACGAAAGCTTTACGGCAAGAGCGGAATAAACGTAGGCAAAGCAGAACCGAAAACCAGTATTCTTATGCCCTTCATAGGGGTAAAGTGGATTTTTAAGACATGTAGTTTTAATTTTGGATTATAAAATTGAAATGAAGAAAAGAATAGGGAATCAAGGGGATATATTGTTTAAACAATCAATTATTCAAAAAAAAAATTGGAACTAGCCTATATCATACTTTGTTATTAAAGATTGAAATCTTTAATAACTGAGCAAAACAGTTCAAAAGAGACTACTTATAAGTATACGGTTTATAGATCTGTTATGATTTCCAAACTTAAATTATAATACAATATTTGCAAAAGGAAAATACTTTTTTGAGGGCTGTTAATTTAGTCGATTTTCTGTAACTTGAAAATTACTTCAAAGGTCACAGAAATCGAATTCAATTTAATTTTACTTTTTTCTTATATTTCTATTAAGGGTATTTTCTATACTAAGTACATGAAATTTCTCATGTAAGTAAAATGTCTTTAAGGTATTTTAAGGTTTCCTAATTATGCCTCATTAAGGGTATCAGAATTACAATTTTTTGTATTGTTAGCTGGTGGCCATCTGCTCCTCCGCCTCCTGCCTCTTGTCTGTCTTTGGCTTCTGCTCCTGATTACTTTCCCTCTCCGGATCCGCCGGCAATTGAATATTGACAGCTGCCAGAGCTTCACGAATCCAAGCCGGAGTGGGATCGTCTTTAAAGTGCTTCCTCATGAAATCCTGAACGAATTGTGGAAACTCATCCTGCTGGATAGCCTCCCGCATGCTCCTCATTAACCTCAGCTGATACGCCACATTGTGGATGCTCAGCAGAGAGCAGGAGACACTCTCATTGGTGGCAATGTGATGCAGATACGAGCGTGTATATCGCTTGCAGGTGCTGCACTCGCAATCCTTGTCGATGGGTTCCATGTCCAGTTTGTACTTTGGTTGTTTCAGGTTGAGTTGTCCACTATCCACCAAGGCACAGCCAAATCTGGCTGTCCGGGTGGGGAAGACACAATCGAACATATCAATGCCCAGGGCCACACAGACCACCAGATCCGCTGCGAAGCCCACGCCCATCAGATAACGCGGTTTATCCTTGGGCAGGTAGCCTGTGCACACATCCACCATTCTCCAGAAATCGTGTTTACTCTCGCCACCACTCAATCCGCCCACGGCGAAACCTCGCACCTGGCGTTCCATCAGGGCGGAGACGCAACGTTGTCGCAGGGGCACATCCAATCCTCCCTGGACAATGGGAAACAGCGACTGATCATCATCTCGGGCATGTGCCTCTATACAGCGATCCACCCAACGGATAGTCCTCTCCATGGCCTCCTCCACGCGGGGACCAACTGTGGTTGTCTTCACCACGTCATCCAACTGCATCATAATATCCGCACCGATGGCATTCTGGATTTGAATCGAGTGCTCCGGCGTCAACATGCATTGACTGTTGTCGAAGGGTGAGCGGAAGTTCACGCCATGCTCATCAATCTCGGCCAGCTGCAGCAGGGAAACCATCTGAAAGCCACCAGAATCGGTCAGGATAGCCCTGGGCCAACCCATGAACTGGTGGAGACCTCCGGCTTTCTTTAGGGTCTCGATGCCAGGTCGCAGTCCCAGGTGGTAGGTGTTCCCCAGCAGGATTTGGCAGTTCAGCTCGATGAGTTGATCCGGCAGGATGCCCTTCAGGGTTCCCTGAGTGCCCACGGGCATAAAGACTGGAGTATTCACCTCACTGTGCCTGTATAATAAAGATTGTAATATTGATTAGTCAGAGTTTTCAAGGGGTTTACCCCATGGAATCACTCACCTGAGGGTCATCAATCCCGCCCTGGCCTTGGAGACGGAGCACTCCGCCACGACTTTGTAGGTCAGTGGGGGAATCTTGCTTGGACTCATTCTACTAGGAATATCCAAGATTTATCCCTTCCCTGGATATTACTAATGTGTACGCGGAAAAAGCCGGCTGCACGTTTTTAATCGGAATTCTGTGTGACCACTTCGCTACAAAGGAAAATATACCAAATGTGAGAGGTTTTTCTTATCGATACTACATTGATTACTTGTCCGTAGTAATTGAGGGCGGGCTTACGTGTATCTTGATTAAAGGTATATAAGTATATTACCCGTATCATCATTGATACCACCCTAAAGAGGTCGAAATGTCAACGCAACAGCAGCAACTGGACTTTATTGAGCGCCACCTGGTGTACGATATCTTCAAGGATTTTGGTCCGGGTGCTTCACTAGAGTCCCACAGTGTGGAGTGCTCCAACGGGCTAGATGGATTCATGTCCGCCTTGTACACCGTTTCCTTGGAACTGGTTATCGCCGAGCGCAAGCGGACGGAGGTCGTCCTGGTCAAGTTCATGAAGGGAACGGAGGATTTCCGGGAGAGCAGCAATTCGTACATCCAGTTCGCCAACGAGATCTTCGCCTACGCCGAGATCCTCCCCGCCTACGAGAATGTTCTGAGGACGAGTCACCTGGAAAGCGAGGTGGTGACCAACTGGGTTCCTCGCTGCTACTTCGCAAGGTTTGGTCAGGTTGAAGGTGGGTCACCAGAAGATTTTCGTTCCTTCCTCACTAACTACATATTTCTTCAACAGGTCTCGGCAGCGGCAGGGAATCCGTTCTGGCTCTGAAGCATCTAAAGGGCGATGGCTACCAGTTGGGTCCACGGCTCACCCTTCGCCGGGATCAGCTGGAGGCCATGGTGGGTCTAGTGGGTCCTTTCCACGCCCTAGGCTATGCCACTAGAATCCTCCAGCCGCAGGTTCATGCTCGTCTGCGCGCCGGCGTGGTGGACATGCCCTTTGTTTCCAGCTCGGGAAAGGCCATCTTTGATGTCCTCTATCGCGTGGCCTTCGATCGATTCTACGAGTTCTACGACAGACAGAAGGAGAAGCTCCTCAAGGATGCAAATCCTGGATTTGGTGCCGCCATAGAGCGTCTACGGGAGAAGTACTTCAAGCAGCCCACTCTTTTGTTGGAGAAGATTCGCACCAATTCCTACGCGGAAGATCAGCAGGATAGTCATTTCGCTACCTTCCTGCACGGCGATTACAATAGGAACAATGTGCTCTTCCACTACGGAGCCGATGACAAGGTGGATGGCATCAGAGCCATCGATTTCCAGGAGCTACGTTTCAGCACCACTGCTATTGACCTCAGTTTCTTCATGTACATGAACACGCCTTCCGAGGGAAGGGACGAGATCTACGCAGACTTGCTGCGCAAGTACCACTCCCATATGATCGGGATGCTTGAACTGGTGCTGCGGCGCAACCAGGATGAGTTGACCGAGGATCAGGTGGATGAGCTGCTGCAGAAGTACAGCTTCGAGCGCTTTATTGCCCACTTTAAGCGTTATGCCTTCTACGGTGCAATGGTATGCATGCACTTCCTTCCCTGGCTGCTCGGCAATGAGAAGGATTGTGCTGAGTTGTCCCGCCTCTTTGATACGGATATGCACGGTCCTGCCTTCCACCAGTTGTCCTTGGACATTGCAGGAGACGAGGCGAACGAGGAGATCTTCAAGACGGTGCGACATGCCTACGAACATGGCTACATGGACGAGATTTAAAATCTTTTACATTGCATTTATCAGTATACATATATTAATATAAATCGAATCTAATTTGAAACTTTATTCATGATCTATTTACATGTTAACTTCGCAAGTACTGCAAAATGAGCGCAAAAAGGTGGTCGACGTGTAATTGAGGTAAACAACGCCTAAATGCTCCTATGTCTAAGCGGAATTAAATAATACATGTCTAAAAGAATCTCAAGCGTTCTCGTAACGCTGCTTCATCATCTTTTTGATGTAGGATTTGTAGTCGTTTCCAGGAGTCATATTTCCAACCTTGTTTCCCAGCCCCACGTTGTTGGTACGACCGTCAGCCTAAGGATGCACATTGATACTATTTAATTATCCCAAAACAGTACTAAACTTCAATGCTTACCTCTATGATCTGTGTGCGTCCTTGGTTCTTTCTGCCCAGTCCCTGGCCTTCCGACCAGCCCATCTTCTGCATCAGACGACTGCCCACGTTGCTCGAACTGATGGGCATGGCCGGAGTAGCTCCAGTCGAATCTTTCTGACGCGTCTGCAACGTCTTTATTTCCTGCTCGAAGCGCTCTCTGCTGCGATTAGGCGGAGGAGGATCGCTCTCGCCGTATTTCAGCCGGCGTTCCTTAGCACGGTCACGATAACTGAGTAAAGATATGTCAATCAATTGGTTATTTATAAATCTTAAAACATAGTTCCACTTACGATAGTCCCTC